GATGTTGCTGAGTCGAGTAACACTAAGCAACATCAAAAGCAGACAGATGATTAGGTGAAAAAATCAGTGGGTAGAAAGTTGTTCTCCCCAAAGACGGGTGTAATGAAAGAGAATATCGAAAAGGATGAGTAGGATAAAGAGGATGAGTTGTTGATAGATAACTTTGACTCCGACGTCTTGTACAACATGGTTTCCATACTCCCTTATGAGTACTATCGGGTGACAGAAGTTGCTGAGGAGGAAGACAACGAGGAATAAGATTTGGCCAAACACAAACTAGTTTGTTATTTTGTAATGAATAATGGGTGTATCGAGGAGCATAACACATTCTTCGAGATACCCCATAGAAGGATGAAAAATCACCTAAAACCCCTTTTTATAAGGGCTAAAGTTGAAGGGACCGTTGTAAACAAAATCTTGGTGGATGGTGAGGCAGTAGTAAACTTGATGCCTCATTTCTTATTGGCTAAGATTGAGAAGTATGATACTAAACCCATGCCTCGCAATATGGTCTTTTCTAATTATAAAGGAAAGACTGGCCAAACAATAAGGTTTATTCAAGTCGAAGTAACAATAGGATCTATCACTCGACCTACAATTTTCATGGTGGTAGCTGCAAGACCTAGTTACAACTTGTTGCTAGGAAGAGAGTGGATACATGGAATAGGGGCAGTTCCTTCGTCCCAGCACCAAAGAATAGCCATATGGAGCGAAGATGGGATAGTTAAAAACATCGAAGCAGACCAGGGTTGCTACATGGTGTCGCAACTGCGAAAAACACCTGGTGGAAAAAACAGAAGTTGCCACTGGACGTTATTTATCCCATTGGGGGAAAGGAAACGATCGAAAAAACCCTCAAAGAAGAGAGAAGACATGGCCATCGCAACCAAATCCTAGTTTTGAGAGTCGATTACGCGAGAGGAATGTATTAGCATCCACTCGGGTTCGTTGTACTCAACGGGATCCACGCTTCTTATTTAATCAAATGTTGGAGTTAATCACTACAATGGAAGTAATATCGACCCAACCACCAGACGTGGAGTCCATCACTGTAATGGAAACAATGCTGACTTAGATGCTACATGTGGAATTCATCACTATAATGAACAATTCGATGGAGCATGCTAGCTTGACATGGTCGACATCGAAGGCCTCGATGGGGATAACTAGTTCTTGGCGCCCAACAAAGCGGTTGAGAAATTAAATGGTATTACAAGGCGGAAACTATGTCAGAGTCGATTGTTACGTAGAAAACATGGGGACACGTTGGGAAAACCGCTATATGAACTTAGGACGTGTCACCATGGGAGTGATTTATCATTTTGAGACAGTTATTTTAAAGTAGTATATAAGGATACTTAGGTTCATTTTGTAAGGGGTTCGCAATTGTACACATTTCTGTAATACTCAAAGTACATGCGTTGTGAGAAATAAGTAAGGAAGATGTACATATGCGTTCCACCATTTTATATATTTTCAGCAATTTTACCTTAAAAAGCTTTCTTTTGTGCCTTAGAGTCCCTTTCGACTTTCTTTACTTTGCATGTCATTTTATATTACTTGCACTTTAATCTCAACCTTTTCTTTTCCTGCATTTTGCCCTTTTAGTTTCAAAGTATTTTTCTTTACTTTACCTACATTTTTTTAATAATTAATTCATCCTTTGATTGTTTCCTTATTCATAAGTAACCACAACAGACATCTTTTCAAAACATTTTCAAGGAGTTTATTTTAACTTCGACAAATTTTATGATTTTCACGAGCAATTCACACACAAACATGTTCGGGAGATTTTTGAGTTTGATCCCTTAAGTATTAATAGAAACTTGTATTTGTTTACCACTTTTCACAGTAAACAACACTATAACTATAACTAACCATAGAAGAAGAAAAATCTAATTCCATAACAGAACAATCAGTATTTCACTTTTCGGACACGTTATGAACATAATATGGATTTTGAAATTCTGACGCAACATTCATTTTTCAGCTTAAAAACCATATGATCTAAAACAATGAGCAATGTAATAAATATACATTACCTGAAATTCCAGCTTCTTTTGTTCATTTTGATGCCAAAATACAGAAGAACATTGTTTTGAAGTAAAAATCTTGAGTGTCAATGATAGGAGAGTTTTATAGGTTTTTCAAAACAAGGTGCATTGATCATGAAAAACATGAAGATAGGTATACATGAAAGGTGAAAACCATATTTGTTTTCTCGCTTGCAATTCCGGAGATTGGAATTTGAAATAAATCCAGAGTAATAAAATATTGACTAATTTTTGACAAAAATGGGGTGACTTAGTCATGAGGTTATTTTGTTGTAGAATGAGTGCCTATGGACTTTGAAATCCAAAATATAAGAAAGACGTTTTAGGGTTTTTATAGGGTGTGTGATCACTACATGAGATGTAGTGAATACCACCCGAAAACAATATTGTAACTCACATAGTAGAAAAAAAGCATCTCATAATGAGAGTGAAAAACTCCTCCCACCTTATGGGGTACGTCCCACACCTTTAAAAACCAAAAAATACAATCACTAGTATCCAGAAATGTTTCTCCAAGCGCACCTAAAATCACACCAACTCTCATAGTTCATACATACACCCCATTTTTGCCAAAATCTGGTCCAAAGATGCATCTCTGTAAGGTTTTTGGGATGAATCCTGAGATGCAACTCCGTAAAATCCCTTGAAGTCATTTTAAGATATTGGAAACATGATTATTATACATGACATGGAATATTTTGGAGATTCATCTCTAGAAACCCCCATAAATGTATTATAGGCAACAACTTTGTCATAACTTTGACATTTTTTGAGGCCAACTTATATTTTAGGTGATTTTAGGCTTTTTTCGGTCTTTTAAGAGTATCATAAATTGATTCAAACAAATTATACATCCATTAAAAAGTCACACATTAATTAATTAAATTTCAAAATGTAGCGACAATACATAATTTATTCTGAAAATACAAAAAATAATACAAACAAACTTAAATTACTAGGTATGTCTACCCCCCGGTCGGTCAGTTTCTCATCTGCATGTAATGCAAGACATTATGTGCCTCAACCATAATGTTTTCTACGAGGGCCATCTGGGGACTGCATGCCTCAAAATGTCAAGCCTCTATGCCCGATCTTGCCATATCCACATAATACACTGATAGACCGACATCATGTTCTAGGTATGGTCATTCCTAGCCTCCAATATCTCCTTATTAGATGACCTATGTGGTCATAAAAACATTTGGTTTCATGATAAAATGTGACACCTTATAGAACCATGTGATGTAGTCGTCTGCATAAACCCAAGAGGAAGGTGGAAAAATGATGTCTATGAACGTCACCTCTCTATAAAAGCCGTCTCCATGCCATAATTTATGATAGTGTACACAACAACACATAAATTGGAAAGGCCAGATTAACATCGAACATTCTTAAACTAGTCATCTCCGAGTTCTTTCAGTTCCAAAATCTTCCTTCAATGGTTTACGAATTTTAAACACAGACACTCCTGTAAAAATAAATATATCACCATCAGTCGCGATTAAATTAACATAAAATAAATGTAATGCAAAAGTAAATACATATACCTCTCTTTCCCAGACATGCCTAGCAAAACGGTCTTTATAAAGATGAAGTAAAGAGGTGTCAAATAGGCCTCCTGGATAACTATCTATAGGGGCATTAACGTCAACAACGGGTTCCTCATGATTGGCTTCATCAACTTTAGGGGCTTCAGGAGCTTCCCGTGAAGTAGATGCTTGAGACATGCGACTTTGGGAAGTAGAAGCAGATGATTATGAACCTCGACCTTGTGAACCATCAAACAAGGTATCATCAACTCGTGGCCCTACCCATAACTCTCTCACATCGTACAATCATGTGTATGGACATACGACTGAGCCTCATTCTGTCTGATTGTTTTCAACCATTGTACTTATAATAAAACCATAAAATCACATCAAAATGCAGTCAAGTCAAATACGAAGATACATCTACGAAAACCAATTCAGACAAAATTCAGAGATACATATTCGGATAAACTTGCGAGTTGTAGAAATTGCAGAAACCCCATTGATGCCCTAAACTCCAACCAAATGGGAATACATGTATATACAAACTACCTATTTCAAATGTACTACCATCAAATGCATCTTAAACGACTTATGTCACCTAATATATTCATCAAATCTAAAAAGTATAAGTTAAATGAGAAACTTACCAAATTAAAGTTGTGGATAAAAAGCTTGAACAAAGTGAGTGACTTTGCAACATATGAAGTAGAATGAACTTGAAGAAGCAAATGAAGCAGTGTTTAACCTTGTAAAATAAACTTAAAGAAACATGCTCATGAGCTCAAATGGAGTTTTAGGGAGTTTGCAACAAATAAAAAAGAAAGGAGAAAATCTGGCGCGTGCATGTGAAGTAAATGCATCTCCCTAAAATTCTATGAAATTTGAATTAAGGGTTTTTACGGAGATACATCTCTTGACTAAAATTTGACAAAATAAGGGTGACACACCAATTTGCGCTATGAAGTATATAAAAAAATACGTCCGAATATGCATTTTCAAATTCTAATAACAATTGTGATTTTTCACCGTGGTGTGGGAAAACCCCATGGAATGAGATAAGTACTTCACGGACAATTAAGAAATTAGGCTTTTATAAAAAAAAACAATTTTTTAATCATTAGTTAGCGATGATAAACTTTCTTGGAGTTTAACAACCATTACACATGTCGCACAACTATTTGCAATTACATGACACTGTCACCATCATTTGATTTTTTATTTTGATTTTAAATTCCTTTTCCCATAAAAAAAATATTTTCATATTTTTATTTGTTTCCTCCGTAGAACTAATAGCGATTGAGTATTTATTCGGTTACGCACTGTGCTCACACTACACAGAAAACACTCACTTCTCGCCACCGCAAAGAAAACCAAACTCCCATTTCCTCCGTTAGGGTTCATCCCCAAACAACACATGAACACCGACGACAACTCCTCCGCTCTCATTGAAGACGAAATCTTCGCCAATGGCGGCGGCGATGACAACCGCAATAACCACCGTCAGATCATCAGCGCAGACCAATTCGACATCGAGGCGTACGCTAGCCTCTACTCTGGCCGCACCAAGATCTCCCGACTCCTCTTCATTGCTAAACACTGCGGAGATAACTTCACGATGCAGTTGGAGGCGCTTCGTATGGCCTTCGACGAAATCAAGCAGGGCGAGGATACGTTACTCATGAGGGAAGTTGTTAGCAAGATTAATGGTCGTTTGGGACCTAACTATACTGTTGACGGCGCTTGGTATGTCACCATTGATAAGAAAGCAGAGCTGAAGAAGGAGAAACTCGAGACTGAGCTTAATTCCTTCAGGGTATATATTTTCTTCTATAGTTTTCCTTTTCTCAATATTAGGTTTTTTGTTTTCGTTCTCTTAGGTCTAAATTCAATGTACAATACATAGTATGTATATTTTTTTTAATATTATCCCGATTGTTTATTTTTGTTGTATTTTATTAAATTTTGTTGAGTTTGATTTGAGTGTGATATAGAAATTGATATAGATATATAAATTATCTAATAGTTTAACTTTGTTTTATTTTTTGTTAAAGAAATATCTTATATAAGTGCTTATGTTATAGGCGGTTAATTAAGTTGTTTCTCTAAGTATTCCATAGTCTTAGAGATTTTAGGTGTTATATTTTTATTAATTTTGACTTCATTATATGGTTTGCAGACGAACTTGATTAAAGAGAGTATAAGAATGGGGTACAATGATTTTGGAGATTTTTACTATGCTCATGGGCAATTATCGGAAGCTGTTAAGAATTACATTCGGACCCGAGATTATTGTACTACAATGAAGCACTGTATTCAGATGTGTATGAGTGCGATTTTGGTCAGCATTGAGATGGGTCAGTTTCCCCATATTAACGGCTATATTAGCAAGGCGGAACAGACAGTGGAACCCCTTGACACGATAACAATTGCAAAGCTACGTTGTGCTTCGGGGTTAACAAATATGTTTTCCAAAAAGTACAAGCTTGCTGCTCGAAAGGTTTGTTCAATGTTATTTTTTTATTTTAGTTGTGATTGTGACTGCATTTTCTTATGATAATTCTTTTGGTTTAAAGTTTCAAAAGCTGATTTTGAGCTAGTGGGTTAGATTAGTGTTATAATTGTGGGATGGTGGATTATGGCAGTGAGCCAAAAATCTACCATATTCATCGTGTAACAGCCTATTATGGCGGATACATGGTGGGCAAGTTAAAACATAAAAACATAACTAAACATAATTTAAGCAAATGAAGCAAACCTAGACAAAGATGAAAACAGAGTCTACATTATTAGAACAGAAAATGGTAACATAAAAAAAGTAATAGAGTGAGCAGATATTACCCTACTTTTTTTAGGGTTGGGTTTTAGTTTTAGCTCATCCTTTACTGAGTGATGAGTTGAGTCGTACAACCCCCACCCCCACCCTTTTTTTCTCTTTTCTGCTTTTTTCACCGTGCTACCATGTTCAATACCCGCCACCATACAAAAAACTGCCATGCAGATTGTTTTTGTGCTGTCAAAATCATGCCTCCATTATCTGCCATGGCATGACATGGTCGTTATTCGATAACACTGGTTTAGATTAACTAGAGATGGATTGCAGTCATGAAAATCCTCCTGAATGTTGCATTAATATTAAGAATAGTTGATAGTGCCATATTAATTGGAATGAGATACAAATTTATAAAATGTCTCCAAAACCATATTTCAATACATATCTGCAACTTTTTGCTTTAACCAACTATTGTGTGATATATTTGGAAATGAGTTGTAAAATGATTACACAAATCAAAATGCAGGCAGACATACTGATAGAAATCGGTACCAACATACAAATTAATGGTAGAAACTGCTTTTATTTATGGCAGAATATATTTACAACAGACACATAATTACGAACACTAGAGATAATACATAATACACACATATACTAATCCAAGAAATTTGAGAGTCTTGTTCTCTCCCTCCAAGAATTAGAGAGCTTGGTCTCTCCCTCCAAGAAATAGAGAGCTTGGTCTCTCCCACCCAAAACCATTCAATATCTATACCATAATCTGTTTCTCCTATCCTTTCCCTATTTATTCCTAAATAATATACCATGATAACTTCTCACAACTGCCTATAACCGCCCTTAGAAGAAGTCTAAAACTTAAATTTTGATTGTTCGACATATCCATTTGTTTTGATTTTTATTATACTTATGTTAAACTGTCACAAAGAACCAAGATAGTAAAATTTTTTGGGTTGGTAATCATAATGCCACTGAGGATTGAGAGCATTAGAAGAGACATTGTAGTTGTTCAGGAAGTTCCTGTTCACATGCAGAAGGTTTCCTTTCCAATGCTTCATTGTGAAGAAAGCACTATTGCTCTGAAGACAGGGAAATAAAAATTGAGTCTTTATGCTGACAGAAACTCAGGTCTATTTCTATAGCCACTCATGGGGGTTCATTTAGGCTTTAACATGTTTTATGACAAGTGTCTATATTCTGTTCAGTCCACTATATTGTTATGACTAACTGGCATCATCCTCTAGCCGTGGAGAGGAGAGATAAGAAAATTATTTGCTCTGCTGTATATGGGAATGATAAAAGAGTGAGTTACTTGGTAAAAGTTTGATCAAGTTACGTGATTATATTGCTGCACTTGATTATGATTATGGCTTGGTATGAATTTCCTATGTCAATGATGCAATAGATCTCATTTATTAAGCATTACTACACCTGTTTTGTCCTTGCTTCTGTAGAAGTATATTATGCAATGGTAATGATTTTGTGAATAGAGGTGGCATCTCATTCTCGTGTGGAAAATGTCTTGCTCAAATTGTTGCTATAGAAATATGTTGAATATTAGCACAGAATATATTCTACTGCAGAATAAAACAAATAATGGTGTTTTACAACTCATTAAGACTGAATGTGAATAATAATTAATTGTGGTTGTTTGTATTTAATGTATTTAGAATCAATATTAATAAGGAGAATGATTACCCTTGATTATAAGCTGATTGTACTCTATTTTACTGTCACTTGTATCCTATAAATACCTATTATGTATTATTTTACTAAGTATGTTTCTTATAAAAAGCGTTCATGGGGAGGATGTAATGAATAATGAGTGACCAAGACTCAGAGACCAGGTTGAAACTGTTTTATTTATTTGATTTGGAATTTGACCTCTGACATGTGAGTTGGAATTTGATCTCTGACATGCGAATTCATGTCTTAATTCCCAATTTAGTGGAGAAGGCAGGTTTGTTACTTATTAAAAGTTAAGTCATTTTGATATTAGTGACCAGGACTATAATTTACCCAAAAAGAGGATATTGATTTTTGCATTGTTCAAAATTTCCTAATCTGTATAATCTATCATTTTCATTTTACATGTGACTGGAATCATGATGATCACTTGTATTAATTGTTGTATGAGGTATACAATCTCACAATAGTTGAGGATTTGATATTGTTTATTGATGACTGAATAATGATAAAATGCTTACATTATTCTTTATAACCTTTTGGTGACTGTCTTCATTACCTAATTCAGTTTATAGAGACTAGCCCCGAACTAGGGAGTCACTACAATGAAGTGATTTCATCTCAAGATGTTGCGATGTATGGAGGACTCTGCGCACTTGCTACGTTTGATCGGACAGAGTTAAAGGCATGTACTTGGGTTATATTTTGCTTGTAAGTGGCAATTGCGAGACATTGATTATGTTGCCTTTCTGATTTAGTTTTCTTTTCTTTGCAGAACAAAGTTATAGACAATACAGTCTTCAGGAATTTCTTAGAGTTGGTACCTGAAGTAAGGGAACTTATAAATAATTTTTACGCAAGGTAAGTTGTTGCACTTTCTTTTTTCTCTACTGAGTTATCTCCACTCATCACATGCCTATTTTCTTGCCTAAATAAATTGAAAATAGATTTATCAATACCCTTCATTTGGTGGAATTGGACTGACTAGGTTATGTAGTTTGTGCCTAGCTTTAATTATGTGAAAATGAGAATGGAATTAAAAACAATGAATTGGAATGTATGCATGGAGAATGGTATTACTTGATTTGACATTGTTTATGTACTGCAATAAATTCACAAGTGTTATTTGTATATTATGGAAATCTTTAAATAAAACAAGCGGTATTATTGAACTGCAGATCCAAACGTAACATTGATGTTGCTGGGTGGCTATTTTTAATGATCGATTATTAGTGTAATACATTTATCCATGTTGTATGTAATTAGTGGAAATCTCTTATTCTTGTCAATGAAGGGGTGATGGGGTTAGAGTTTATGGAAAATGCTGTTACTTGAACATATATATGGAGATGGATATTTCTCATGATCATTACATATAACACTTTGACGAATATTGTATGTATGTTGCAGGAATATTTTGTTAGTTTGGTAAAGTCTTAAAGAAATCATTGGCAATCCTAATTATGATTTATTTTATTTTAAAACTTGGTATCTAGCCCTACGACCCACTAATCTAGGGACCAATTCCATTGTCCACTAGCGGGGGGCACAATTGAAGGCAAAGAGCGTTGCATAGCTCTATCTGTACTGACCCAACATAGGAATTGTTAGCACTTAGCAAGGTTTGAACTTGAAATATTGAGAGGAACACACTTTTATGTCCCAAGCCTTCACCGACAGAGGTCAACCCCTGCGAGTTTGATTTGTATTTTTTATTTCAAAGTATATTCTAAGGTATTGTTTTGGTGAAAAGGGGTTGGCTTATTTTAAAACTTATGAGTACTTTATTTCACCATGTTATTCAAATTGTTTTTTGCTAATCTCTGCTCCAACTAATACATTTTCTTCCTTTTTTTGCAGCCGTTATGCAGTGTGTCTGGAGTACCTAGGGAACTTAAAATCAAATTTGTTACTGGACATACATTTGCATTCCCATGTTGAGACACTTTATGATCTAATCCGTCAGAAAGCTCTTATCCAGTATACACTCCCATTTGTGTCTATTGATTTGAACATGATGGCTAATGCATTCAAGACAACTGCTGCCGGACTTCAAAAAGAACTCGGAACTTTGATTACTGATAATCAGATACAGGTTCTTTGGTCTCCTCAATTTTCTGTTGCCCAACCCACTTTAATTATTAGTGAAATGCCTTTTAGTAAAAAAATTGTAGGTACCAGATAAACATTGCTTATGTATCTAATTATGGTCTTGCAGGCGCGAATTGATTCACACAACAAGGTTATGTATGCACGACATGCAGATCAAAGGAAGGCCACCTTTCAAAGGGTTCTTGAAACTGGAAGGGAATTTGATCGAGATCTTCAGTCTATGTTCCTGAGATCCAGTATCATCAAGTACGATTCAAGTAGGTCAAGAGGTAGTAGGAGGCTGTGATAGTGGATTTATCATGATAGACCAAAGGTTTTTAGTTTTTTTTTTACCCCTAGGCATTAAGATAGATCGAGGCTCTATACTGAATTTTAAATATTGCTTTGCATTCCTTGATTGTCAAGGCGGCAAACGTACATTTGTGCAGAAGTTTGACAATATTATGGCGTACTTTTGTTTTGATTCACTTGGTGTACACTCTTTGTGAGAAAGGAAAATCGATTATAGGTATAAAAATTAATAAAATCATTGCAATAAAATAACTAGAGTATAATCATTGTATAGTAATAGGAAATATAAAAATTAATTCTACTAGGGATAATAAAATCATTGCATAGAAATAGGGAAAATAGAAACTAACTAAAATTAATATAACTAATTCACAAATATTTAATTCACATAACAATATCTTTCCCTTCAAACATCCTTGTCTTCAAGGATAAACAAGCACGAGATTGCATCGGTGATGAGTGTTTCTCAAAAGGATGAGAAGATGCATTTCTCTTCAGCAGTCACATGCAAAAATTATGACACGAACAACAAAAAATTAATTAATAGCAAATTCCCAAGTGCCATGCTTAGGATGTAAATCCATCAATTTGAACATAATTTTATGAGAAAGAACACTTCCTCTGTTGATCATATTCTTATGCAAAATAGGCACATGTTCAATGCATTATAGGACTGTCATGTATTCCCTAATGAAAAAAGTGAATAATAGCATAAGATTCCATGCAATGCTTCAGTTTTTCGAATCTCAAATTTTGTATGGTATGCAGTAGAGGTGGCCTTATTAGAGGCCCTATCATGCTCAAATAACTTAGTTTCACTGTTTTGTATTATGAGAAATTTCTCAAAATCTCGAGTATATATGCTTCTCAAAATATCTCCATGTAAATCGCCTTTGTTGGATCGTAGGAAGTTCTCATATATTATATGATCAAACAACTTTTTTTTTAAAATGATGCGATCAAAATCTAAACTGATTGAATGTAATAGAATTGGAGCTTCAAATATATCATGATATTTAACAATGAGATGTTCAAATTCTAATGGTACTTTGAAAAATATTGACACTACCTTGTACGTGTCGCAAGTAGGAGCCTCTAAATTACTTTTGAACTTATCCATGTACACACAACATAATTTTACTTTTGTGGCTCGACTTGAGTAAGAGACCTGAAGATCAAATTAATGTTTAAGGGCTTAGCTCCACTGAACACAGACTTCCTTTCAATGATTAAAAATTTCATTTGAAGTTTAGAAAAGTACCGAAGAATTAAACCAATTGAGTTTAGCCATTAAATTTAAAAAATTAAATCACCATATTTCAAAGGCAGCATCTTCATACTATATGTGAAATTAATTGGTCTTAACTTCCTATAGGATTGAGATTTATCATGATAGACATATTGGTTAGGAATAATAATGCTAGTATGCAATAATAGATTCTTAAAGTCCATGACCACATCTGATTTCAATATTGGAGTACTAATATGACCGTTTGATTCCTTTCTCCAAGTCATTTCTCTATGGAAACAATTAACCATTGTTACTATTTGATTGGAAAATAGTACACTAACCTTTTGCCATATCAATCCAGTTGCATCTTGTCTTCAACTTCAAGGGCACTAAAAAATTTATTTTGATTGTATTTGGTCTAGAATAGAAGGTTCTAGATTAATTGAGACAGGAAAATGGGTTATAGGGACAAATGCGATCAAATCTAAGTCTTGAGAGTAGAGATTTAAATGATTTAGAATATAATCTGATACAATAGATACAATATAGTATTGAAAGATAATTTTAAGAAAGAGAAAATATTTATTGTGAATTTGATATATTTATTCCATTCGCATAGATAACTCTTGCCCAGCTTCGAATATAGGTAGACCTAACATATGGTCCTCTAGTTGTACTCGTGAATTGAATTCATGTCGATGAAGTACTTACGGTAGAACACGTCGACATAAGTTTCTATTTTTCCACAAACACGGGCGTGCCGACCAGGAAGAAGAGGTAACACCTAAATGCATACTTCCGGTGGTACTCAACCCGCATATCATCACCTTCAGCATCCAAGCCCCCTACAAATGTTCTTTATAAAACATTTTATAAAAAAAACTAAATCTTGCATGAGCACCTCTTGTGTCAGTGTAATACCCTAATTTTTACCCTTAAAATCCCACATATCATTTGCATCCTGCATCATAAGCAAGATCACCAAACACCTGTGTTTTTTCTTTGTTTGCTTTTATTTGATTGCTCGTGTTTACTAACCCTAATCAAAATATCAAAAATACGTTTGTTTTTTCTTTACTAACTCATTTTTCAGGAGGAGGTTCGGAATCAAGAACATCAATATCAGCTCCTCAACTCGAATGAAATTCATCTGAAAAAGTCAAAGTTGATTTACAAACAATTCAAAATCATTTGATTAAGAGTTTCTCAAGATTTGATTGTTTATTGCTCAAGAGACTTTATGGTTCATGTGTTTATTTCCATGTCTTCTTTGACAGGTCAAAAGAATCGAGCTAGAGTCAAGACAACACAACAAAAAGTCATTTTCTCAATTTTCACTGTGTTAATCAATTAACCAAGTTTGTACATGAAATGGTTAATTGATTAACCAATGCATTTTTGTGTGTGGCTAAAAATAGAATTTTCAAATTTTGCAGCATTTTGGCACCACAATTCACTTATTTCATCATGAGAATATTCTAGATCACCTCATTTTAATTCTCCTACCTCATCATAATTAATTCCCATCATACACTCTCATTAATCACCACTTGATCTTGATTTTGCCTCCAAATTCAATTCCCAAGCCTAGATCAAATTTCAAACCAAATTCCAAATCACCAAAAATTTCCAAGCCTAAATTCTATAAATAGAGGCCTCATTTCATTCATTCTTCAAGCTTTTGATAGCCAAATTCACCTTGCTAAAATTTCTCTCAATTCCCTTCAACCACCAAATTCACCAAAGCTCTTTCTTCCATTAAAAGTTAATAAGCTTTTCATTGAAGCTTACTAACCTTTGAGCTTAACCTCCATCAAAACACTTTTTCAACATCAAATTCTGTAGATCAAGGCTTTAAAGTGTGGTTCTTGAAGTTGATTTGAAGCATTTTTAGATTTTGAAGTGGTATGCTCTTGCTCCACTATTGTTGTGCTTGATTCATCTTCCACAATATGATCTATGGTTGATTCTTATTTCTTGATCTTTGGATCTTACAAATTATGTTTTATTGGTGTTATTTTTTTGTTGTTTTACTTGAATTTTCGTGCTAAATTGCATTCATGATCATGAGGTGTTTGAAGAAATGATTGAATCATGAATACTGTTTTTTTTTCAAATTTTTGCTGATTCTGCCAGGGTTAATTGACTAACCAAATTTTATCTTAAGATGGTTAATCGATTAACATAGTCCCAGAGTGTGTTTTTTTGACTTATTTTGGGACAGTTTTGGTTCCTTTTCTTCCTTCTTCCATTTCCTTTTTGTTTTCTCTTGAATTTTGATGTTTGTTGATCAAATTTCTCTTTAAATTCCATGGACTTTGGGTGTTGATGAGGTTGGATAAACCTTTATTAGTTTAAATCTATCTTTAAGTGGATCATTGGATTAATTTTATGTACTTTGAATTAGTGATAGGTTTAGTGTTTTAATCCACCAAGAAGAGTGATGGAACTTAAAGATGGAATAATTCAAATATTGTAATTCAATTTGGCTTCCCTTCTCCCCTCTTCTCTTTTTTTCTTTTGATCAATGAAAATCTTCAATATCATTTGAACTTATTTCAAGTTCTTGATGAAGATGAGATCGTTACCTATTTTATTTTCGTCCGGTATTGCTTTTAGAGGATGATCTACATATCATCTCTCTAGCATACATTAGCACAAACATTATTATTGACCGACCTCAGATAGTCGTGGCTTCTACATAAGTACGATTATAATTGCTTAACATAACGCTAAATTGTCCCTAAATTGGAATTGAGTTATTTTTGTAAGTGAGTTATCAATCTTCTAATCTTCGTAGCGTGGTTTGAGATAGATCGTTTCCTTGTCGTTGAGGGAGTTAGTTGGTATACTCGTTGATTAATCCGAGTTGGAGCCCTTCCTTTAATGGTTTATGGACTCATGTTCTCATTCTTACGGTGGATTGGTCGAGTATTCTCGAAAAATGACAAGTCGTTCTCCATCATTAACATTGACATACTAAAACTAACTTTACTTTTAATTGCCATTTATCTTTATATTCTTTACTTATTGTCACTTACTTTTACGCTTTTATTTTTATCATTTTCATATCATATTATTATCATCTTATTTTCTCTTTGTCCGTTTGGACCTTTATTTGTGCTTTTGCTCTTTTTCTTTTTGTCCACTTGGACCATACTCTTCTTAAGACATTAATAAATACTTAAACACTAAAATACTTGGTTCTCCTAAATCCGGACTGTTATAACCTTATGCTTGGACTTTATGACTCGGACTACAGACTTAGTTCTAGGATCCTTACCATTTTCTCTTGGAGATTTGAGACCTTGGACCTTGGTGTTGTTTTTGTCCATTTGTTTTGGGAAATTTTCTGTGTGCAGGTGTTGATATTATGGAATCATGAAAATCATCTGATACATGACTCTCCTAATGAGTTTTTTAACCCTTGGGAGAACTTCTCTTTGACCTTGCTATGACTTAATTTGGGATTTCCTCTGATTGCTTTACTTCATATGGTTATTATGCTTGTGGTTTAAATTCAAACGAAAGGGTATTGCTTATGATGACTTTTTGTCAAGTGTTAGCTCCTTGTGTGGTTAGATCTTCCAGTCTCTAGCTCTTATTTTGCTTTATAGGATAGTCACTTCTTCTCCACCTCTTCTTTAATTTTCAAAATCTTCTCTCTTTTTCAAAACCCTCTTGTTTCTAAAGTTAAACCGTTTTCATAATAAACCTTGACTTTGGTCAAGTGATTTTTCAAAATTTGTTTTCTTTAATAAATT